TAAACCCCCAGTAATTGAAGAGTTTCTCTGCAGACGGAGCAGCAGGAAGTGAAGCTCGCTGCGTCTCTCGACTCATCAATGCAGCTTTCATTCTCCCTCAGCGGGGCAACATGGACGCTGTACAAAAGCACCACTGGTACTTCGTGGTACTCCTCTTCCTCCCTTCTCTTAAAGGTAAGGAGTTTATTTATATATGTAAATCTTATTGTAGATTAATAACTGGCAATATGTCATATCAAAACTCTTTGTAAAGTGGCATTGTCTTAAGTTGTGTAAACTTGTATGATAGTAAGTTGTATCAGTTCTTCTCATTCTGAAGGATCATTTAAACTAGGAATACCTTTTTTCTACTATTAATTGTATATCAGATTGTCTGTGAAGCTTGTTGTTGTGAGTTTTGTGAGACATTATTATTCTCAACCTGTCAACATCTCTCCCTCGGGGCATCACCGGACTGGAAATCACTTTTCATTCAGCTCGGATAAAAGCCTTTGAGAACTCGGAGGCTTGATCACCAACTTGTTTTTATGTTCTCTGGCTCAAATAAACCTAATTACCATTAACTGAGAGATGGCCTCAACGCTGGGAGAGGCTGTTAATCTACAAGAAGGGGAGATTTAGAATATAATTATTACGAAAGCACTTACATACTAATAAAGGACTGGCTTATCTAAAGCCAGTTGAGTAGCACTTGAAATGTTTTGGCTCTATGAAACCTGATGAACTTATATGATTCTGTTTTCTTCAAGTTTGTATCTTGTTGGTCGAACGCACTTATTGTAAGTCGCTTTGGATAAAAGCTTCAGCTAAATGCAATGTAATGTACTTTAGGGGGAAAACATGACCTTTCTACATCTATCTTAGCTTCAAAATATGTTTCAAATAGTAAATAGTAAAATGGGCTTTTGGAGAAAAAAATGGAATTGGGCCTGTAAGAAATTGAAGGCCCTCTGAATTGTGTGATTTGGACCTGACTGTAGGAATGTCTTATGATCATTGTATTACCTTGTTTTGGAAAATAAGCCTTCTGTTTGCAAAGTACCTATATGACAGTTATTACCCTACAATCAGCTGGTCATCCTTTGTGTATAATTAGGAAGTAATGGTTTGATTATTTGAAGCTTTCCTGGACTGCATTAACTGACTAAATGTCCCTCTCTCAGTTGCAGAGGTGCAGACGGAGGGGTCCACGGTGCGTCTGGAGGAGGGCATGGTCCTCCCCTGCCTCTGTCCTTGGAACGGAAACCTCAGCATGGTTTCCTGGACTAAAGACCCCGACAAGTCCTCCGTCGCCGTGTACCACCCTGAGCACGGAGAGCACATCCCGAACCCCTACACGGAGAGGGTGGAGTTCCTGAAGACGACCCACATGGATGGAAGTATCTCCATGAGGAACGTCACGCACCAGGACATCGGGACGTACCACTGCTCCGTGCAGACCTTCCCCCGGGGGCCCTGGACCCAGAGCATCCAGGTGGAGGACTTAGGTAAAAGATTTAGGTGTAAAATAGTGAGAACATGTTGAAGAGAAACCATGTCCATTTCCAAATTCCTAGATGTTATTCCTATGGTTTTAAACTATTAGCAAACATGAACAACTTTATTTTTACCTTTATTTAACCAGGATAGGTCTCATTGAGATTCAAAATCTCTTTTTCAAGAGAGTCCTGGCCCAAGAATGGTAGCAGCACAATTTTAAAAACACACAATCACAACACAGTCATACAACAAGTTAGCCAAAGCATTTACAGCCACAGTGTTCTGCTTTAAGGTCATTTAGGCCCCATTTACACAGAGACGAAACGGAGAACGAACCGAATTTGATATAAAAAAAAGTTCCGTCCACACGGTATCGGCTCAATAAACGTGTCCGTCCACACGAGACCGCTCGACCCGCTGGACACGCTGTAGTACATATGCCGGGCCTGTAAGTGGCGCTGTACTACTTCCGCCACAAAATACACCAGAAGCAGCAAAGACCCCCCCCCCGAGCATGGTTGCCTGGTTGCCCTTCTGTTTATGCCCCGCGGTGGATTTAGCAACATGTAGTTCATGTAGTTCTCCATGTCCACTTGTTGCTGATGGTTGTGGTCGAGGAGCTGTAGATTGTGCACTAACATCTGTAGCATGGTCAGTAGCAGTATGGGCTATGGCGTATAGGGCGTACACACGGAGCCGTTTGGCCCCCCAGAGCGTTCCGTCCGCAGATCTACCCACCTTGGGACCTGTTACTGTTCGAGGGCTCCGTTTTTCGCGGTTCCGTTACGGCCTCGTAACCGTCCATACGATAGAGAACTGTAGCGGATACAACCCGTTCCGTCTCCGTGTAAACGTGGCCTTAGAGTCGCTTTGAGTTTGTTTAATGAAAAACATTTCGCAAATACGACAGCGTGATGAAAACATTGATTTGTTCCCATATTTCTTATATTTGCAAATATCTTTTTGAATTCACACAATTTTTTTCTGCATTTCTTTTTGTGTTTTACATTTGGCCTAACCCAAACCCTACACACGAATAGTATATCTGCTCTCAACTCAAATATTTGGATTAATTTGCCTCCTTAGACCAAAATGTGGGATGTAATCAAGTGAGTCTGCAAAATGTACAGGTTATATACAGTAGTTGCATAGTCTCAAAATTCCATGTCTAAAGAGCATCTACAGACTTCATACTTTGTGACGTCTCAAGTTTGAGAGAGTAAGTCATGTTACAAAGCCATACAAATAACACGTTATAATTCTCATAGGTGGTGTTCCCCTTTTCTCTCCTTGCTGAAATTACACTTTGCACATTCTTTCATTCCTACCAAACATTTTATTTATTTATTTTCTTTGACCTGCTACTCCCTGTGTTTGCAGACGAGCCCCCAGACGACAGCACGGAGGAAGAGGAAGAGGAAGGCTCAGACCCCCCCACCCTCGGTGGGATCAGGACGGACACAGAACTGGTGGCCGAGCCCGACAGCAACCTGACCATCAGCTGCAACCACGAGCACAACGGCACCGTGTACCAGGTTGTTCTGGAGAGGATTCCCCCCGGACCCTCGGGCATCATCGGGGTCTGTAAGAGGGTCAATGGGGGGGGTCTCCTGAAGGAGGGGGACCTCATGCAGGAGGATTACAGCGAAAGAGGACAGGTGAGCTGTGAGGACAGTCTGGATGTAAACCTGCACCTGACGGGCGTGCAGGCAGAGGACGGGGGTCTCTACCGCTGCACCTTCAGCACCGACGCAGGGGTCAGGACCACCACGGTGCTGCTCACTGTGTCCCCCCCAGGTACACACACACACACACAGATTGGGCAGCAGTAAACACACACACACACACACACACACACATCAGGATTAATCACAATACCGTATTTATCTTGTGGCTTCTTAATAATTACCCCCCACTGAGGTGTAAGCAGGAACAGAACACACACATTGTGCTGCAGGTAACACACACACACACACACACACACACACACACACACACACACACACACACACACACACACACACACACACACACCGGAATAAGTACATTAAGGCACACTTAGAAAGTACAATGTACAATATGTAACAACACTCTTATGTAGAAATATATATGTACGTAACATTTGCAGCTTATTAGTATATATTTAGGTTTGAACTGCTGACGATAGAGAGTCATTATCTATATGAATATATGTTCTCATGGCAGCTGGATGATAAATGGTTTCTCATACTTCAAATTATTTATGGATACATCTCACAGTGATGGATGAATCATAATGAATATAATAAAGTGTGGCGTGCGATGTGTATCTCAACGTCAGCACAGACTCACACCTGCTCAAACCACCACTTCCTGTTTCTCGCCCTGAAGAGATTCATCTGTTCTCCGAATAAACAACATGTCACTTCCACATTAAGACAACTAGCCCTATGTTATATATTTAGTGTCCCTCTCATTCCCAGGTGGATTCAGCCTCTCTGTGTACATGATGTGTGTTTACGTCGGGGCTGGGACTGCTTTTCTTATTCTACTCATCGTCATCATCATACTAGCAGTGAACCGAAGGTGAGGCGCGTATTCATTCATCAACAAATAAAACTCTTATCTTACCTTGACTGTGAGGTTGATGAGAAGGGCTGCAAGACAACATGTTTAAAACATTTAATGTCCGTCCTTTTAGTTGTGGTCGAGACATTCCAGTCAAAACTGGCATTTTTAATATATGTTGTGACTCAAATAATGTTAAACATGTTAATCCAAAGCATGATATGTTACTTAACATAACTAAGTAGTTTGTTTGGTTTGGATTTACAATGTTAACCAATATGAAAAAAACTAAAACGGTGATCCAGAAGAATTACGTTTCTCCTCAAAAATGCAGTTTAGTTGAATGGCAACGTCATTTTATAGAAGACTGGGCAGTCCAAAAACACTTTAAATCATATGCATCCGATAGTGTTCCACCTCAGGGATGATACCTTCTCACTTCTTATATCTGAGAGTGGGTACAGGTACTTTCTCCCTGAGGCCAAACACCGCTGAGGAGCTTCACTCAGTGTAATTACACTCAGCTCTGTAACCATTTTCAACATGTAACACAGGTAGAGAGATGAATGATTTCATGTCACACACAGTCACTGTTCCTTTCTCCTGACATCGTGGTAAATATAATGCTGGAAAGAGAAGGAGAAACTTGATCAAAGAAGCGACATAAGATGCAATAAAATCTAGTATTGGCACATTTGGTTACACTTGATTATCGTATTGCCTCTCAAAATATTGGAGTTGGATAAAAAGAACACATCTGTGTGCTGTGCCACTCTATTAAGTACATTTCAGAGCATACGTGAAAACTAGCCAGACAAACAACCTCCAAAATATAACATTTCCAGTCAATGAACTGCATTGTCAATCACGGAAATATGTATAAGTGCAGTCAAATAAAGTAATGCATCCTGTTAGAGCTGCTGGCGTGTCTAAAACTGTGAATACACTCTGACTGTTCATGCTTTCTGAACACGCTTACGCATCAGAAATAACCATTAAAAACTGTGACAAGCTTCAAGGTTCTTTATTGTCGAACTAACATAGCTACAGAGTAATTGGGTCGTGACATGTGAGACTTATAAAATGTGTTGTTTCTTGTTGTGTTTCAGTTTTATTTGTGTACTTTTGTCCACTGATCCACAGGAAGAAGCACCGCAGGGAGGAGTACCGGGTGAAGCTGCACCCCTCCCAGAGACAGGTGAGCCTCACGTTAGTCATCATATCCACGCTCGTCTTCACTCTCGAGACGTTCAGAGCGCTCCCTTTCCTGCTCTTCAGGCACGCACTTCATTATAAACCTGTGACTCTATATCCTCTCATCATGTGACACTGTTTATATCAACGCCTGCTGCATTTACCCTGCTTTACAACTAACTAACAAAACCTTTGATATCATCATAAAAAGCACATTCCAGCGCATTTCATTTGGCTTTTTCTTACTTTGTTGATCATCTGTAACCTGTACACTTCATAAACTAATAACATCTTCCTCATATCCACAGCCTAACATCTACGAGAACATCCTTCCGTGTCCCAGGACAGTAAAGAAACACCGGCAGATAAAAAACCCCGTTTATGCCAACATTGACGCTGTGAGATCACAAAAAAAAAACGCCCGCTGCACAATCAATAAATAAGACAAAACGTGAATGTGCAGATTCTTTTTTACTGTGTTGTAAATGTAATTTCCAATGAATAAAGTTGCATTTTTTTCCCATATATCTACACCAAATGACTGAAAATATCAAATCAACAGCATGTTTTTAGAAATTGTCCTTAATATATAATGATTAAAAGACTAAAATCTCTAATTTAAACCAGTATCGAGCCCCTGTGCTGTGCAGGTGCTTCCTGTTTGCTTTAATTATCATCTCTCCCTCTCATACTTGTCAACCCTCCCGATTTTCGCGGGAGACTCCCGATTTCACTGCCCTCTCCCGGTTTCCTCCCGGGGTCATATTTCTCCCGCATTTCTCCCGATTTCTGACAAAATCAGATTTACACACGACTGTTTCCACTCGGACTTTAATACAGCGACACCATTGTTTGGTTTCCATGGTAACACGTCTCTTTAGTAGCGCGCGCAACTCAAAGTCTGAGAGGGTGAGGCAGATAGTCACAGAAAACAGAACAAAAATCGACAACTACTCTACTCTCTGCTCACTCCTTTCCTGCCCACACATATGCTCCATCAAGGATGGTGCTACAGGCCGCAAGGCATTGCACCTAGAACTACACTATAAGCATGTTAATGTTAATCTAACAGCTCCGGCGAACTACTAGCAGCCCCCCATCCCCCCCTCTTGCATTTTGAAATGCTCCCGAAGATATTTTTTTAAATATTGAAGTTAAAAGCATAAATCTGGTGCACTTTGAGAGCAAAATGAAGAGATCTATGGATACATCTCTCAACATACATATGAAACAGAACTGTAAACAGATTTACTATTTCTTTATAGATATTTTACAAATCACTCCCCTTTTAAAACAAAACGTTTGAGACCCACTGAGATAACTAGACTAAAGTTAACTATCTAAACACTGAGAGTCCTTTACTTCACCTGAGCTGAGGTTATATATGCATATCTGAGAACTCCAGTCTACAGGGGGGAGAGAGTTCTATTTCGTAGTATGGCTTGGCCCTCTAAGCTATCGCTATTGTGGGTAATCCCCTGCGCCCCCCGCCGCGCAGCACTGAAACACTCTTGTGAGTCCACCACCGCAAGTTGCGGGTTCCACGCCTCGGGGCCTCCTTCCTTACTAAATAGGAGGACGGCCCGGCAATCTGCTCACCTCTTTTTTTCAGCAAACCGGTTACTGAACCACGCCAATTGAGAAATCATCATGGCAACAACTGCGTCCGTGATTTGCTCCTCATCGTGGCTCGGTTCATAACATGAGTTATGACC